TCGGCGGCAGTGGTGGACAGCTTCCGTGGTAGCGTCGGCCTGATATCTGGCTTTGGGATCTCGCCCATATTCATAGACATTTTGCGCCCTGAAGATGCCGGGTTCAGGTTCTGGTTCGCCACGAGCCGCTTTTCGGGAAGCGAGGTCCCAAACAGACCGGTGTCCTCCATGAGCTGTCGGCGAGTGGTCTCCTCCAGCTCTCTAGAGTGCCTCGACTGGGGTAGTCTGCGAGACTTGGGCAGCTTTGCTCGCGTCTCGTCATATTCCTGAAGCTTCTTCCAGAGAGACTTTTCGCCGGGCTTTGCCAGCCTGTCCGGGTTGAACTTTTGAAAGCCGTAGATGTGGTCAAACAGCTCGGCAGGTTTCCTGTAGGCTGTGAAAGGAAGTTCGTCACTCCCATTCTGCCTCAGTTTGGGCAGGGTAGTAGAATCATTGAGATGGATCTGGTACGCCGGGTCGGCCTGGAGTGGCGTTGTCTCAATCTCGTTGGTCTGCAGAATGCTGCGCATCTGCAGGGCGTACATCCGCGCACGGATTGTAAACTCATCGGCAGTCTCCTGGTCACGGTTCTCGGCAACTGAGAGGGCGATGCCCTGATAAGACAAGGCCTCTTCAGAGGTGCCTGTCCAGTAGGAGACATGTAGCCATTGCGGAAGGGCATAGCACCACTCGTCCTGTGGTTGGGCAAAGTGCTCGATGCGGCGGGCGAGCTCCAGCCCCTTGGACGGAGAGAGCGACTCGCCAAAGGATTGGTAGCTGCCGATGATGGGGGTTGCCAAGTTGGGCGTGCTCTCCTTGCTGCGCATGGACATGGACTTGGTGCGGTGATGATGGGGTCCGTCGGAGCCAGGATGGGGGTTGCGGTAACGGAACAAGGGCACCGCATGCAGCGGCATCTTAGGCACGCAGATGAGGTCGATGCCGATGCCGTTCCCGACGAGAGCCTCTGTTGTGCGCCGCAGGTTCTCGTAATCAACCTCGAATACACCCGGCCCTGGCGTGATGACGACGATGGAGATGCCGGTGCGCATCAGGTCACGATCGATGTAGTCGTGAGCAAACTGCGAGGAGGCAAGGTTGATGGCCTCGAGGAGGTTGCCATACATGGACAGGGAGGACTCGGCCTTGATCTTGTTGGCGGCGGCGTCCTTGTCGGCCGTCTCCTCGGCCAGCGGCATGAACTCGCTGTGGGCCTGGTGGTGGTGCAGACTGATGTCGCGGCGGAAGTAGTTGAAGTCGCGCTTGAGCTGGTACAAGATGGTGGTCCATTCGCCGCTGGACATTTCACTGACCACAACGCGATAAAAGTCCTTGTAGGGGCGGCGCTCGCCGCTGGTCTGGAAGCCGGTGTAGTACTCGCTGTTGAGGGAGCGGGTGGCTAGGTCAACAGAGATGCCCGTGTCATATTCCACGCGTGCGAAGAGCACGATGCTGACGAGGTGCTTGACCTTCATCTTGGCCCATTTCTTGAAGAGGGCGGGCAGGAAGCCGTTGACGACCTTGTTGAAGTTGATCTCGCCCGAACCCTCCGAGTCAAAGTCCCACATCTCGCGGGCGATCTGGATGAAGAGCACGTAGCGTGCCGACTCGCTGCGGAAGATGGGCCGCGTGTTGCCGGTGAAGAAGGCCGAGTGGGCTTTCCGGCCATCGACGAAGACGGCTGTGACTTGGGCCTTGATGGTGCCCATGAAGAGGATGGACTGGCCCTTGTAGACAGTGCGCTCTGTGAGCTCGCCGATGGCCATGCGCCACATGTCTGAGCGCGAGAGGTACTGGTCCTTGAAGGAGAGCTCAACGTGGGATGCTGATACGGCGGGGCTGCTCGCGTCCACATGGCTCAGCAGCACTGGAGTTCCCCTTCTCATGCCAAAGGCATCGGCAATGTGCTTCATGACGTATATCTCGACACTGGGCTGGCGGCTCTTGGGCTCCTTGGACAGGTCCTTGACGACGAAGACGTATCGCTTGGGGCCTTCGGCGCATGGCGCAGCACATGCGCTTTTCGAGTTATCACCGCGAGCCGTGCCGGACCCAAGCCCGCCACCACCACTCTTATCTCCATCAGACTTGGCGACCGTGATGGCCATTAGGTCGCCGGCGCGGACCTCGCCACCAAAGAGGTCAAGGTTGAGCAGGACCTCATCGCGACTGTAACCCTCGTTGATGGTGACGGCGCATCTGCGCTCGAAGCGGCGGGGACGCGGGGTATGTTCGCCACGGATGGTGGAAGCGCTCGAGACGGTATCGGGAGAGCGTGGGACATCGGAATAGGACGAGGCCGAGGCAGAGCGGTCGACGCTTCCGCGACTGAACTGCCTTAGGTGGGAGGGCAGGTTGGCTCCCCTGCGGATGGAGGCCGGCCCGCTGACATGGCGCGACATGGGGGCGGTCGTGTGTGGTGCCAATCGGTCATGAGGGGTGCAGCACTGCGCATCGGCAGCGCATTGCTTCGTGGGAGGCTATGTCGGCGGTCGTGGTCGTGGTTGGGGGTATGCTTTGGGGATGGATGATGTTGAAGATGGATGACCTCGGATTGGTCCGAGCTTCGAGCTCTTCGGTGAGGGACGGTGAACTTGGGATTTAATGACTAAGCGGGCCACGGGTGGCTGTTTTGGTTGTTGGAGCCGTGGCTTTTGTTCCTCAACCCCACTCAAATCCTCGACATCACGATGTATCATCATCATCAATGAACAACCACTCAGACATCGTGGCTGCCTTGCTCTCCATACATTAACTCTGCTATCTATCTGCAGTGCTTGTTCTAATATTTCAAGTCGTGTAACAGTCTCCCTTCTCCGTATGCTGGTTTGATGACCGACAGGCATCGCCCGAGAACCGAACTTCGATTCCCTGCATCAGCAAGCTCAATTACCCTGAACCATGCTCACGGGCGCATCTTCAAACCACTCGTGGACGTCTGTCCTCAAGTCAGCATCCTGCTGCAAGGGTGGCGCAAGGGTGGCGGGCAATTGAGTGAGGGATGACATCTCGAAAGGGCACGATTTTGCGACAACATGCATACAAGATGCGGGGCATATGTAGTGCAACCCAACAGAGATGCTGTCGCTTCGGAAGTCGCTCATCAGAACAGGGGAGGTAAGTGATCCTCTGTCAGTCGATACGAGGTGTGTTCGGGTCAGCCAGTCCCGACATGTTGCCCATAAGAAACTTCCAATTGCCCACTGTCGCGATGCGGCTGCCTCTTTGTCTCTCATTCGGCCTTGGTCACAAACACGTCTTCTGACTGCTGAAGATACCCCGAGGGAGCAAGCGAAGATGCATCTCTCCACTGCCGCCCTTCTTCCGGCTCTTCTCGCGACTGCCAACGCGTCGATACTCTTCCAAGGCGGCACAATCATCGCTTTTAATGGAGAAACCCAAGGGCTCCATGTCATTCGCAATGGCTCCGTCCTGGTGGAGGACGACAGAATCACAGGCATCTTCGAGTCGGCACCCAGGAACATCTCCGTAAACACAGAGGTCATCGACGCCACCGACAAGATCATCACCCCAGGCTTCATCGACACACACCGCCATGGCTGGCAGACGGTCTTCAAGACAATGGCGTCGAATACCACCCTGATCGAATTCTTCGGCCGATACAGCTCCTACGTTGCCCCCTTCTTCTGGAGCGCGACAGACGTGTACGACAGCCAGCTCGCCGGTCTGTATGAAGCCTTGAATGCAGGCGTCACGACCTCACTCGACCATGCCACCCATACGTGGTCCAAGGAAGCCTCTGATGCTGGTCTACAGGCCTGTATTGACAGTGGGGCTCGAGTCTTCTGGGGATTTACCTTTGCCAACATTTCCGGCTTGGTCACAGTTGAGGACCTCTACCCGATCTTCCGCGACATGGCCGCAAAGGAAGGCTTGAAGGGATCTCCCACGACGTTGGGTATTGCCTATGACGGCTGGGGTCCGAACCCCAATGTTCCAGAGATCAACAACATCATGGTACTTGCGGAGGAGGTCAACGCGTCTGTCATTACGACTCACTCCCTTCAAGGTCCTTGGGGCTACAGCAACTCCCCCGAGGACATCCACGCCCTGAACTACCTCAACATCTCTACCCCCATCGTCTTTTCCCACGCCTCATTCCTCACGTCGACCGGCGCAGACCTGTTGAGGGCCACGAACCAGTACATCTCTATCACCCCGGAATCAGAGATGCATTACGGCCAGACACACCCGGTCAGCCACCTCATTCAAGACCAGGCATCCCTCGGCATCGATACGCACATCACTTTCAGCACCGATATCCTGACACAAGCCCGCATATGGCTTCAAGCAGTACGCTCCAAGCGCTACACCGACGTCCTCAACCGCTGGAAGCTGCCAGGCACAAACCCAATGTCCGTCGAGCAAGCCTTTCTGCTCGCCACCCGTAACGGCGCCCTAGCTTTGAGGCGCGGCGACTTGGGTGTTATTTCCGTCGGCGCCAAGGCTGATCTGCTCATGTGGGATGGGACCTCGCCAGCGATGCTGGGCTGGGTCGATCCTGTCGCAGCTGTCATCCTGCACGCTGGCGTTGGCGACATCGAGGCGGTGCTGGTTGACGGCAAGTGGGCGAAACGCGGCGGAAAGTTGGTGAACCCTGGCTGGCCTGAAGCCCGGAGGCGTTTCCTGGAGACTGCTAGGCGTCTTCAGGCTGTCTGGAGGGATATGCCTCTTCCGGAGCTGCCGGCCGAGTTCAATGGTCATGAAGTTGTCCACCCTGACAGGGCGGATGTCCTGCGGGGGAAGAGTGATGGGTATGGTAACTCGTATATCTAGGCAACCACCTCGCCGCGCATATCTAACCACGGCTTGCGAATCATTAAACAGCGGTTTTCGAACTTGAACTGGATCACTTCGTTGCTGATGGAGCCATGGTGGACAGGTGGTCCACAACACCCTGGTACGTGTGTCACAGATGCATCTCAGCGGAGTAAATGACTCCATCGTGGCTATCGAGATGCCACTTGCAATCAATCGCCCACGAGTATCCTTTTATCGAAGGCACAGTGGCGGAGTGGTTAACGCGCAGGCCTGCTAGAGAATCCCTTCGTGGATATCTCAGGAAAGCCTGTTCCTTCGGGAGCGTCGGTTCGAATCCGATCTGTGTCGACACAAGCATGAGCATCATTCATGGTGCACGACATTTTTCGCTTTTGCTCCAGTAACATTTTGCCCCAGTGCTTTTTGCCGGCCGTGGTAACACCCGGCAAGAGCATGTGTCATGGTTCGGTTCCAAGCTTCTCGTCTGCACATGTCAAGCCATGTGCCGCGCGCCTTGCATCCACGCGAGCCTGCGGCGTCGATGAGCCCCCTGTGGCCCCCCAAACGAGACATGCAGAACACCCCCCGGCAACAGCACCCGTGGCGTTCTGCAAGCCGGAGCCTCGGAGTCACATCGTATCATGTCTTTTTCGTCGACGGAAAAAAACGACCAGGAATACAAAACCGAGTCCGAGGCGCTCAAATGACAAGTCAACAAGGGAACGGACAGGCCCGGGCCGTTGGCGACGCTGACACGGCACAGCCAGGGCGCGCACCGAGCGATCTGCCCACCGTCACCCCAGAGGCGCACCCTCAAAGGCCTCTTCACCCGGACGCCCACGAGAACTTTCAGGGTGTCGTTTCCGGAACGTCGCGACAGTGAGAGATCAGGAGCGGGTAATTTCGCAAGAACACCCGTTTGCGTGCGCCCGCGCCCGAACGACACAACCCCCCGGACGGAAGGCCTGGCGCCGTCATATTGCGACCGCTGCTGACGGTCGTGGATGCCATCCATCACATACACCCCCCTGGCAATCCCCCGGGTCCCTGCACACCGGTAGACGTCGGTTGGGAGAAGCATGCACTTTACCCGGGCACGGGGTAACGCTGCACGGGGATCGCCGTCATGGGCCGTATGCAGGGTGTAGGCAGGAGCGACTCGGCCGAGACCGGATGGCGTTCAAAGTGCTGCATTGTCTTGGATTGCGTTTGCACGTGGTCAACTTATGTCGTGCCACTGACCTCAGAATCGATGCACGACACGGCTTTGGTTAGAGTTACTGTACGAGAAGTTGTCATACATTTCCAGCCGTGGCAATTGTTGTTGGGAGATCATGGATCTTGGCAGATGGAAGACATCGAAGTTCATGATGACCTCGACTGATGACAGCTATAAACGCGGAATCGAAATTTGGTCTGGAAGATGCGGGCATGATTACCATGGTTTCGAAGCTCAGCAAACATAGGCTTTGCGCATTCAACCCGCTCAAGATCAGAAATAAACTGCGTGGTTCGGTGAAGAGCTTCGGTGGCAGGTGCTCATGGACACCTCAAATTTCGCTCCGTCCCCACGCGCAGATATGGAGGTACCACGACGTTCAGGCCCGGGGCGGGTACTTTCCAAGTTGGTAAGAAGGACGCAAGGCCATCGTCGTTGAACCTGCCTTCTGCTTTTGTTTCCGTGCCTTCCAAATCAGTCAACTCAGTAGGTACCTCCTGCCTGGTCGCCACGGAGAGCCACCACGCTCTTGCCGACCCTGCGCCTTCTTCACTTGCCAATCTCTGCGCGCAAGTTTCTCAACTTCATTCTTGAACAAATTCTTCTCCGCGTCCGACAGAAAGGGAACAACTCTTTCTCGCTGCTCTTCGAAGGCTTCACCACAGCACCGCCAACACCATGCTCGACTCCTCCACGGCTCCAGCGGCGGGCCCGGTGTCATCACCCATCACGGAATCAACCGGCACATTGACTGGACAATCAAACATGCAAGCACTCGGAAATCGTCTGGTTGCATCCTATGCTCCCATCAACGAGAATGGAGCGCCTCCTATGGTACACCAGATCGATGTCCGCGTTCTGCTTGCTATGTTCAAAGGCATGTACTTGCAGCTTCTGGAACCGATCGTCAGCGACTTCGACCTCCCTATTCCCAGCATCCTTCGAACTTCTCCTGAACTGGAAAGCATGGCCACCTCACTCGCATACGATGCCGCCGTCGCCGCTGCAAGTGTCTGCCATGACAAGGCCCGCCGCCTGAACCCCATGATCGTCCGCTTCAACTTGAAGCCCTCGCCCGCCTTCAGTACGTTCCCGGCGTACATAGCCGCTTTAATCAGTTCCATGGGCCCGATCCAGTGCGGCAGCACCACTTCCCGCTGGGTGCATGTCCCGGTCATCGACATGACCCATCTTCAGCGCGAGTTTCCTTCCAGCTACAGGGCCTCTCACTATTACAAGTTCAGAGAGCAACAAGAGTCGAAGATGACGTTCAGCAACATCGAGACCTCTAAGCGGGCATCTTCTCCTTGGTGGACTTTATGGCCCGTTGAGGGCCTCTGCCTCTATTCAAACGGCCCTGCTGCCTCTGGACATGGCGATGGTAGCGACGCCTGCGATGACAGCCGCGAATGGACCGTCTTCTCACCCGTCAAGATCGACAAAATAGACGACTTCCTGAAGCCGGCTGTCCTCTTTGCAGGCAGACCTCTCTCTCGACCTGGCATCGGTGCTTGTTCTGCCACCTATTGGTATGACCGCGAAGCTCTCCGAAATTTCGCCGGCACAACTCCTGCTCCTCTCGACTTCCCTCCTGAGACTCGCGGAGCTCCCTTTTTCTGGAAAAACGCCTCAGCTTTCCACGCCAATGTCGAGACCAGGTGGCTCTTCCCCGAATGCGAGGGCAATGACGATACTGCCCCCTCGGTCACCGGACAACGACGCACTCAATCCCAGATGAGCCCCGACAATCAGGCCAAGCGACGCAAGACAGTCCCAACTTCTGACCAGAACGGCGATGATGACCAAGATGGCCGCATTTTCGAGTACAGGATCGTGTATCACTCCTTCGACCACGTCTCTCTCCAAGACATCAAGCCCTCGGCTTACAAGAACTTCATTTCTGAGGCCTGCAAGTCTACTTAGGCTCTCGCTCCCGCAACTGCGAGTTCTTCGCACCATTCTGTCGCGTATGTCACAGAGTCTGGAGAGTGAGCAGGAAGCAAGCTAAGGAGGAAGCAAGCCGAGGAGGCCGGGGATCATTGGGCCCAGTAAAAGCTGATGTATGATACATGGGACGTCCTCCTGACCGCAAAGAGTCTACAAATCGAACTTTCTGACATCCATTATTTGAGCATTTCGTGAACATCCATCGGGGCACTAATCATTCGATCACACTGGCAAAAAAACATACAACACCGGGTATTCGCTGGTCGTCACCGACCCAACTACTAATCCAGCCCTCATTGGCTTATCTATGGGAGAGCGGACGGGATCCCGAGTTTTCCAATGGGTATGGTCGTATGTGGAAGATAATGTCGTAGGTTGCAATCATGGTGTTGTTGTGGTGATGGTGGTGGCACGATGCGCCGTGAGCGAATGCTACGAGACACTGATTGGTTGGCCAGAGCAGTACGCCTTTGGTGTACTTTTGTAAGTTGGAGCAGCTGGCCAGTCTTCAACATGAACAACAGTCTGTTCTCTTTCAACGGATGTCGTCGTAGTTGTGCCAACGGCATGGCGATGACCGGCAAATGGGTGACCAATCACGGGATGTACGCCATCAACATTCCTGCAGTGCATTCTCGCGGGGTATGATCGACGTGTCTCGACCCCAGAATTCTTGACACATCCCGCGGCGCCGATGAGGCACTGTTGTCTTGGTCCGGTCAGTGTTGCAAGCCTCTCGTCTGGAGCCCCGCGTTGTCGGTTCATACCAGAGTTGCCGGGTCGGCAGCGCCAGATGAGGCACTCTTGCGCCACCGGACCTGAGAACCGTGATGAAAAGGGGACGTTATCACGACGTGCATCAATAGGGAAGGTCCGGGCAACCTGACAAAGCGGCCGAGATAATTGCCCCGGCCGGCCCGGATATCAGGCTTGACGTCACCGTCAGAAGATAAGAATAAGGACAGCCTAAGCAGGTCAGGCCAGGTCAGGGCACTGGAGAGAAGAGGTTCATCGCATGACGCGTGGTTTCATCTGTTCGCGCGGTGAGAATGCAAATAGTGGCAGGGGCCGGTCGATCCTCGAGACGCTTGGCTGGCCGAGTCAGGAGAAGCACCCAGTGTCTCGGCCGAAGAGGTGCTGCCCGATTTGGATTGTGTTGAGACTGGGTTGGGGTTTGGTTTGGCAGATAGGACAAACCGGCAGGCAGACAGGCAGACAGGGCAGGGCACCACCCCAGGATCCGGGGAGACCGGAGGGTTCGGCGTCGTGTCGTGTTGAAACTCGACGGACTCGAGCGCCCGCAACGAGATTGGACGCGGTCAGGAAAGCCGCTCCGGGGAACGGGTTGAAGAAGCCGGAGCGTAGGGCCAGGGTGTTGAAGTTGGCCCAAGGCCGGGGCCTTAGGGTAGGGCCCGGGATCGACGCGATGCCAGAAGGGACGAACAATTGCACCAGCAGAGAGGTGTGGGTGACGATGATGAAGTCGCGATAGCGATAATAGCGACATCGCGGCTTTTGGCCGAGCGAAGCGGCGAGGCCGGCGGTCCAGTATCGCGCCATCGTCGTCGGTAAGCGATGAAGGCCGATGGGCGGTGGGCGGCAACAAACAAGTTCGGGGCCGGTGCCGAAGCTGGGTACTCGTACTTGTACAGGGTCTGGGTTGAGAAGGGTGTCGCTGGGCGGTCGTCAGTACGGCACATGTCCGCATGAAAGATGGTGTTGAGCAGGGGCCGGTAGGTTAGCTTCCGGCAGTAGAGGGGCGCCACGGGTCAACGTGGATGGAGGGGGTACGTTGCTGCGGGTAGGGGACGTTGGGCAGCATTTGGGGAGGGCAGCCTGGGGAGGGGAGGGCTGAGGCAGATGGCGGGTTGTATCAATTTTCGGGCAAAGACATGGCCAGGGCCGGAGAGGAGATGATTGTGCGTAACAATACGAGTATCCGGGAGGTTGGAGAGACGAGCGCTGGATCGACAGGCGGACGGCTGGAGAAAAGGAAGAATCCGTCAGGGTCGCTTGTGAGGTCATGTTGGGGGGAGGGATCTTCAAGGGGTTGATAGCGGTGATCTGTGATCGCTGTGGTGATTGTCGGGGATGATGCGATGCGATGGAGCGGGGTGGAGGAGGAGGAAGAAGAAGGATTCGGGGCTCCGTGGCCGGCCGTCATCCGGACAAGACGGAGACA